TAATACATGCAGCTGTATCAAACATATAGGTTGACTACATGAGTGTGATCCTTTGGATAATACATGCAGCTGTATCAGACATATAGTTTGACTACGTGAGTGTGATCCTTTGGAGTAATACATGCAGCTGTATCAGACATATAGGTTGACTACATGAGTGTTATCCTTTAGAGTAATACATGCAGCTGTATCAGACATATAGGTTGACTACGTGAGTGTGATCCTTAATTGTAATACGTGCAGCTGTATCAGACATATAGGTTGACTACATGACTGATCCTTTGGATAATCACTGATAATACATGCAGCTGTATCAGACATACAGGTTGACTATGTGAGTGTGATCCTTTGGAGTAATACATGCAGCTGTATCAGACATATAAGTTGACTGCGTGAGTTGGATCCTTTGGATAATACACGCAGTTGTTTCAGAGTAATACATGCAGCTGTATCAGACGTATAGGTTGACTACGTGAGTGTGATCCTTTGGAGTAATACATGCAGCTGTATCAGTAATACAATACACAACCAACTATATATTCCACATCACACTCCATTGAGCAACCGCCTCCGTGGTCTAATGGTAGAGCGCCCGCCCTGAGAGCGGAAGGTCCGGGGTTTGATCCCCAGCTGCGTCATACCAAAAGATGTTAAAAGATGGTACTTGTTGTTACCCTGTCTGGCGCTCGGCATTAAGGGGCTAAAACAAGGACTGGTCGGCTCGGAGTCAGTATACTGTGTCTGAGTGGGGTATTCATGTTAAACTGCGGCATGGTATCTCAGTGTGCTAGCACTATAAATTGGCATCAGTCCGGACTAGTACAAGCAGCCACATACACGTGCATGCACGTCGCTATATAAGTGCAATAACCTTGGACGCGACGTTAAACCCCATTTCACCTCACCTCTATTGAGCAGCTGTTGTAACAAGTATATAGCAATGTCATTCAAAGAATAGAAATTACACAATGGTGAGTTGTTACTGCGGGGGTTAAGAGTTCTACCCATTGTGTCAAACTTTTCGCATCATTGAGCACCCCAGCAGTCCAGACAGACACCACCCATGCAACAATGCATCAAAGGCCGACACAACCCAACGCGCACCGATAGTCTTTGTCACACCTATCCTCAGATCTACAGCCTTTGTCACACCTATCCTCAGATCTACAGCCTTTGTCACACCTATCCTCAGATCTACAGCCTTTGTCACACCTATCCTCAGATCTACAGCCTTTGTCACACCTATCCTCAGATCTACAGCCTTTGTCACACCTATCCACAGATCTACAGCCTTTGTCACACCTATCCTCAGACCTACAGCCTTTGTCACACCTATCCTCAGATCTACAGCCTTTGTCACACCTATCCTCAGATCTACAGCCTTTGTCACACCTATCCTCAGATCTACAGCCTTTGTCACACCTATCCTCAGATCTACAGCCTTTGTCACACCTATCCTCAGATCTACAGCCTTTGTCTTGTCATCTGCCTTCAGGTTTGTTGACCCTTTCCCTGTAAACCAATCAGTGAACTGTTCAATTATTTTATTGCCTTTGAACTTCCTTAATATTAATGGAATGAGGGGGAAGGGAGGTGTCGCATCTTTGGCTAGGTGTCATTTTTAATTTGGAGACGCATTAATTTCAAGATTTACAGTGGCTGAAAATATAGGAAGACGTAATATATGTGTTCTTGAAAATCTGACCACCCTTTCCAAACTTTTAGAATTCAAAATTCATCCTTGAACAAATCTCTGTGCTTCATCGCTATCTTTAGCCTCCCATATCAAATCAACATTACCCAGGCTACAAAGAAAGTACCCAAGACAAAAGGCTCGTGGAAAACTGACTTTATTCTCCATCATCACCCATGTACATACATATACAACACCATCCATCTCCATATTTACAACTAAATGACATCCTCCATCATATACAACAACATCAAATCGAGGAGGAAGGAAAATGGACAAATAGCACGACAGGACACTATCAGATCTTCATAAGAAGAGTCCAAAAGAATAAGTTTGGAAAGGGTGTTCAGATTTTCAAGAACACATATATTACGTATAGGATAAAACACGTCCGAGGGTTGTTATGATATTTAAAACCCGCATCCCGAGGGATTACATCGGAGGGAAAGGGTTTTAAATATCATAGCAACCTGAGGGGAAGTGTTTTATCTTACTTATAAACCGATTTTGAACCTTAAAATTATCCCCAAACTAAATGGCAACCCATTATAAGTGTACAACAAAGCACATCCAAGGGTTCTTATCACATTTAAAACACGCATCCCAAGGATAACAGTTTTAGATATCATAAAAACCCAAGGTATTTTACCTAACTTATGAACCGAAATATCAAGTTTGACATATCAAGTTTGAGGAGTGTGTTAACTGAAAAGGATATACATTTTGTGGAAAATTGTCTTTTTTGGGATTTTATATTGATGGAAAATTGTCAGACCTGCTTTTTTTGCATCCAATTAGAGAATCGTGCTCCTTCTCCAGTTGATGTTTTATTTCAATTATTTGATGTCATTAAAATCCATCAGCAGTGTCCATCTTTTCAGATACTTCGAGTACAGGATATATTACCCCATCGTCTGTACTTCTCTTTCTCATTACTGCCATGTGTTATGGTGATTCTTTGTAAGGAGCCCCAGAGAATATACTAAAAACCGATCCAACTCAAGTCTAGATTGATTTGGCAAGTCTAGATTGCCCCAGCTCTTAATCAAGCATTGCCCTGGGCTCCATTTGGATTTTACTTAATATTTTGCAGATTTGTATTTTTAAATAAAATAACCTTATTTCTGGGACTAAATGTTGGCCTATAAGTAGTGTGATCAGTGACAAATATATGTCAAGCAATTATGAGTTTGTGGAAAAAAAAAAGTTTCTTAATGAATGACGATCTGTAAGATCAGACCAAGTCCATATATCTGTGCCAAGATGCAGTAGGTAGAAAATATCCAATACAAAGTTCTTCATGTTTGGCTCGCCTCCTGTACAGAAAGAATGAAGAAGTTCTAACAACTATGTTGACATGCTTGCAGCGTGCTGAAGGTTTTATAAAATAATCTCAAGGAAACCAAGACGACAGAATGTTAATCTGTTGTTTGTCGACGTGAACCGAGCTGACCTCGTAGATAAATGTAAAGTTCAACTTGATGATTTGAGGTGTGAGAGTGTGTGAATACAAGCAGATTTTATGAGTGTTTCAGCTGCTGTCACCACTATTATGAAAATGTTACACATATTTTTGGCACTGGTTTGTTGGTCATGTATGTTCAGTTGGTTGGTTTGTTGTTGAACGCCGCACTCAGCAATATTCCAGCTATATGACCAGAGTCTGGACCAGACAATCCAGTGATTGACATCATGAGCATCGATCCACGCAATTGGGATCGATGACATGCATCAACCAAGTCGGCGAGTCTGGCCACTCGATCCCGTTATTCGCCTCATACGACAAGCATATTCGCCTTTTACGGCAAGCATGGGTTGCTGAAGACCTATTCTACCCCGGATATTCATGTTCAGTTAGAAGCATAGACCATGGGGGTAGGGGAAAACTCCACCCTGGACCAGACCTAGCTCCTGATAATGTTCACCATGGAGGTCTCCAGCTTGTGATGATTGATGATTGGATTGTCATGTATCAAGAAGCCATCCTATTTTTTGAGGAAACAATATATTCTTAATCTTCTACGGGGGCACGGGTGGCCCAGTCGTCTAAGGCGCTGGGATTCGCTGTGCAGAGTTGCGTCCCTTGGGCACGCCAGAAACCTATGATTGTGGGTTTGAATCCCGGTTCACCCCGATTATGTTTCTAGGTTTGTCAGCACCATACCCATGCTTGTGGGTTTCACCGAAGTGGTAAACATCTAAGACCTGCATCACTTCGGGCTTTCCTCCCACATTAAGCTGACACGCCGTGATATAACTGTAATACTGTTAAAAGCGGCGTTAAACCCAACTCACTCACTCACTCACTCACTCACTCACTCACTCACTCTCACTCACTCACTCACTCACTCACTCACTCACTCACTCACTCACTCACTCACTCACTCACTCACTCTCACTCACTCACTCACTCACTCACTCACTCACTTAATCTTCTACCAGTTCTCTGATTTTGGCACGGAATGCTTGGCGTGCTTGTTGTCTCCCCTGTTCTATGAACTGTTTTTTCTTGACTTCGTTAATGCCATTGGTCTTAGGGAATTTGATCAAATCTCTTGTTTCATTGTGTTGTATTTGGTGAGTCCTGTTAACACTACACAAAACTTTTCCACAGATATCTTGCAATCAGCTAGTGCTGTCAAGATATGATCCTGAATACTATTTAACTTTGCTTCAGCCAACATACAAATACTATCATGCATCTGGCGAGAAATATATTTAAGAGCTATTCCTGCGCGGCCAGAGACTCCCGCTGCTACTTCAATTCTTAGTTTGATAGGCGCAGCGATTTTAGGTGATAATAAACCAACACCGGCGACACCATGCTAGCTGCTATAAGTGCAGTGTCAACTCCATCAAGAGCTGGGGCGGTCGGGTATCCTAGTGGTTAAAGTGTTCGCTCGTCACACCGAAGACCCGGGTTCGAATCCCGACATGGGTACAATGTGTGAAGCCCATTTCTGGTTTTCCCCGCCGTGATGTTGCTGGAATATTGCTAAAAGGGGCGTAAGACCAAACTCACACACTCACTCCATCAAGAGCATTCACAGCTCTGCGATACTTTTTATATATTCCAATTCGAGAATCGTGCTCCTTCTCCAGTTGATGTTTTATTTCACTTATTTGATGTAATCAGAATCCATCAACAGTGTCCATCTTTCAGATACTTGTTATCAGCCACATTCTATTATCAGCCAATCAGGAAACAGTAGTCTGTTAGTGGGTGTGGCCTATTTACAAATGCCAATCAAATACCATGGAATCACTTGCAGATGAATTTGATATATTTCTTTTCTTCCCCCCCCAGATATTTCTCAACTTCGTAAGATGTTTGGGGACATACAACGCAGTATTAACCAGTCTTCCACCCGTCTGGTGCGGCAGCTTAAATGTCGAGACCGGCGGATCGCCAAACTCCATCGAAACTGTGATGTTGTCACTGCCATTCTACAGGCAGCCTCCCTGAAGAGACGTAAGTAACCATGGTGATGGTAGTGCACAGAATAAAAGACTGAGATTATAAAAGAATCACAGCGTGTTACATAATGGGACATGTTACCCAGGTCACAATCGCTCAGATTGACAACTGAAAACAACACAGAATTTGGGTCACATCAGTTTATGTTTCATAAATCATGGCTGACAAAAATACATCAGCCAATGACGTAAGCGCATTTAATTTGACAGTGCGCTAAGCGGCACAACTTACAGAGGACTGACAGAGTGATTTCCCTTAGACCGTTGACGAGACGCTCAACATGTATTTACTTACACCCTTGAAAACACGGAATATATTACACAGGGGATGCAAAATTGAACTGAATGCACCTACAATGGGTGAAAAGTACTATATACAACACACACAGAAGCACGTTTCAAGTGAGGACACACATTTAAAGTAAATGTTTAACGTATACTACTCAGAAGAAGCTTGAGAACACCCAATTCTTTCATATTTGTGTAGTTATTTTGTCATGTACAATAACAGTGCCAAAATACTATGCTCTGTTTTACATGAACATTATGTTTAGTGTTTGTTATATTGCTCAACATTTGTTGAGGATCAAAATAGTCATCTTCAGTAAAACGTGTGGTCCTTAGCAAATGTTGAGCAGTATATGTTAGGTAAATATAGTACTCAACTACAATCTAAAATGAATCAAACACCAAAGTCTTCATGAAATATAGGACATGAGAGACTTTTCTGGAAAAGACGTTGAAATATAAATTCCGGAAAATGAGATTGTGGGAAGTTTATTATTAAGTACAAATTGCCATGTATGTGATTTAAAACTGTGGTTACATATCTGATTAGAATCAAGATGACATTCAGTAAAAGCTATCAGCAACATGGTATATAAGGCCACACTTTTTAATTTTCACAGATTTATTCCATCTTTTCAGTAGTGGCGGCAGGTCTGTGAAACAAGCATTTAAAATGTATGGCCTGAAACAGAACACTGTGATGAATTCACAGTTTTAATCATTGTTGCTGTCTGTCATGACATCAGGGTCTTACATTACTTTCTCTAGTCATACTTCATTCATTCAGGCTTGATCTAGCCTTTTTAGAACTGGTTTCTAGAGGTTTGGGTTTAGTTTGTTGTTTTACTCCGCACTCAGCAATATTCCAGACAATCTAGAGATTGACATCATGAGCATGGGATACGATGACATGCATCAACCAAGTCGGCGAGTATGACCATACGGTCCCGTTAGTCGCTTCTTACGACAAGCATAGTCGCCTTTTACAACAAGCATAGTCGCCTTTTACGGCAAGCATGGGTTGCTGAAGACCTATTCTTAGATACTGGATCTTCACGGGTCGGGTAGCCTAGTGGTTAAAGCGTTCGCTCGTCTCGTCGAAGACCCGGGTTCGATTCCCGACATGGGTACAATGTGTGAAGCCCATTTCTGGTGTCCCCCGCCGTGATATTGCTGGAATATTACTAAAAGCGGCGTAAAACAACACTCACTCACTCACTCACGGGTCGGTTTCTAGAGGGGACAGTGTAATCAGTGTGCTGTGGTTGAATATATTGGCAGCAGTCACTGGATTCAACATCAACAATATCTGGTCTTTGTTCTTTTTGAACAAATTGTTCAAAACATCTGTGTAGACTAGGGCTGACTGAGTACACTATGAGGCAAATACGATACGTAGCACGAATATTGGGTATCGAATATGAATATTTATTCACGAATACATCAAGTCAACATTTATTATTTTGAATGAAAAATACAGTGACGCTTGCTACAACGCTACCTTTGGGGTCCAAATAATTGATGAGCTTGATGGACAGTCAGCCATTTAACCGAGGTAGAGTTGTAGATGACCCACACAACAGACTACTGCATGGCTTGATTTTATTCTATTTTGCATATCTTGCTTTGATAAATAACAGAAAACTACAAGTCAAAAACACTCTTTTAAATTTTTTTGATTCAAGTGACCATGAATAACGAATTCAATTCATGAAGGGATACAGTTCGATTCATCGAATACACGAGTGAATCATATCAGCTCTAGTGTTCACATAGTTTTGATTCACACGATGTGAGAATGTTTGGTAGGACTGTGTATACAGTGTATTTCATCAAGTGATGAAGGAAGAGAATAGCCATAGCGATTTATACCCCTGACCTAAAAGGGCAGGGTTATATACAAGGGGCATTCAATAAGTTTTGCAACTTCAATATAAGACCAAGTCGCAGAATATCTTTTGCACTTTTATTTTTCAAAATAATCTTCATTCACCTCAATACACTTATTCCATTTGTCCTTCAAGCTTTTAATACCACTTTTTTAGAAATTAAAATTAAAGTAAAAAATTAAATCCCCTAAAGCAATCGATGATTTCCAGACCCTGCGACACTCCGACATAAAATCCTCCATTGGCAGAGAGAGAAGGGGGACTACTCTTGTCATCTTGGTGGTAGCCTTTCATGCTTCAGACAGAACTGAACACCAGACAAGGTGTTAACAAACAAGAATGTGATGATAATAAAGTATGACCATGTCATCGTATAAACTGTTTAGTTCAAGGTAGAATTGGTAAAAATATTTCAACTTGTGTTAGGTATTAGTTGTTATTGTCATTGGATTCATAACATGTTGTGTTTCCATGGCAACATATTCACAGTATCAGATTCCAGTGTGTGATGAAGGTGTGAATATAAGTTGGAACCTACCGTACGTTCTGTAATAAAGTACAGTGATGACTGGACACTGGGACAGTGAAGACAAACTGAAATAAATAAATGCCCTTCTTGAATAAACTTGAAAAGTGCTTCTCTATATACTGTAAATCGTGAAATTAATGCGTCTCCAAAAGAATGCGACCACTGGACCCTAGCCAAAAATGCGACTCAATATGAATGTGACACCCCCTCCTCTCAAGCATCAGTGGACTTCTATCTAAAGATGTCCTCTGTCAGGTTTAGAATCCTCACCTTAAGCCAACCTTACATTAAACCAATCACACACCGAATAGCACCGCTTATTAGCGCTGAGTAAAGAACTTCCGCAAAAACAATATATGCGCGCTGGCCCGTGTCGGCCTTTGATCAAAGAACAAAGGGTGGCGTCTGTCTGGACTTGCAGGTGTGATCAGTGATGACATAAGTGAGTAGAACTCTTGTCTTGATGACAGGATGTAATTAGTGTTTAAATGACATTGTTTATATACTTTATATACAAGTGCTGCTCAATAAACAGTGGTGTGGAATACATCAGCGTATGTCTAAGTTGGTATTTTTGCTATCCAAAATGTCTTATTGTAGATATAAATGCGATGTTTAAAAATACGAGCAAAGACCACTCGCATTTTTCGCATTTAATTCACGCTCGCGTTAATTTCAAGATTTCCAGTATGTGAACGCCTACCTTCAAAAATTATTAAATATCCTCGCATTTATACCAGGATGTACGGTAAATATGTGTTACTGGGAACGTTGTTGAACATCGTCTCTGATTAGCTACACACTGACTCAACTGTGTGGACGTTATAGCACTGTATACAGCTGTCTGGGCATCAAGTCGAATCCATATCATAAAGCTCCCTCTGTGAAGCAAGGTAAGTTAACAGTGGTGAATGTGTACGATATGGGCTAATGGACTTTGAACTTGAAGTATGATCGTGTGAACTGAAAATGTCTCCAAGGCATATGATTTAGGTTGTGATTTGAAGGGTCGAGTTGGGGATCGGCCAATATTCCAGATCGAATATCTAGCAATATACAGAACATCTTTGAGGCTAAAAGAAAGAAAATGTCTCTAGAGCATCCAGCATCACTTTAAATCCTCATCAGTCATTTTTATTGCAAATAGAAACAAATTTTTCAAACATGTTTCATGTGAGGCATTGTCTGCTATCCATAATATGACTATTGACAACTGATATTGTATTAAAGACTTAAAATGAATATGTCCCAAGTTGTGTTTGTAAGTGTTCTTGGTGAGAGAAAATGAATGTTCTTCCCATGTCTCTTTTGTTTTCAATAAATAAAAAAATACTTTAAAAAAATAACTGTAAAAAATAAATTAAACGTTTTAGAGAGAAAAAGATCTTTTTGAGGGTCATCACCTTTACTGACCTGTATTTTTAACTAAATTTGTTTCTTGTAAACCCAGACATGACAAGAAGTCTGTCCTAATAAGGAACAAACATGTTATAAACAAATATGAATGAAACAAAATATGGCTTTATCGTTGAGTGGCATTTTCGAAGCTGCACTTTGAATGAAAATGAATTTATTGATTTCAACTTATTTATTCTTTCAATAAATGCTGGTTCATTTATCAAGCAATGATCAGTGAGTGAGTGAGTGAGTTGGGTTTAACGCCACTTTTAACAGTATTCCAGCTTTATCGCGGCGTGTCAGCTTAATGTGGGAGGAAAGCCCGAAGTGATGCAGGTCTCAGACGTTTACCACTTCGGTGAAACCCACGAGCACGGGTATGGTGCTGACAAACCTAGAAACATAATCGGGGTGAACCGGGATTCGAACCCACAATGATAGGTTTCTGGCGTGCCCAAGGGACCTAACTCTGCACAGCGAATCGCGGCGCTTTAGACGACTGGGCCACCCGTGCCCCCCAATGATTAGTAGTTGGTAGGAAGCAGCAACTGAAAAGTTGCATTAGAAGAATAATGAAGCTGAAATCCATTAGTCAATTCTTTATGGTCAAACATTTTCTTAAATGAAATTGTATTACTATTATAGCCACGGCTGAGAGACACCTGGTTGGGAAATAAAATATAGTGAGGAAAAAGCTGCATAACATGTACCTAATTTCAATTGAGACTGAGTTTAGTAAAACTGTTTCACACTGAGTTTAGCTATAGTTTTGAGTAGGTTATTCTATACATTAGGTACTCTTCGACATTTTAAGAGAGAAACTGAAAAACAACCAATGAAATGTCAACAGAGCACCTTCACTGAACGCACCCTATTGTTCAGATGACGTAA